AGAAACTGAAAGTGTAAATAAGGACTAAAAGGTATAATAGATAATGTGAAATAGGAAGAAAAGGGGCAAAAGGGAAGGGGAAGTGGGAGGGGTAGAAGGAAGAGAAGAAGGGAATGGAATTAATATTAGAAAATGAAAAAATAGAATCAAAGTCTTTGTAAATAGGGAGGGATGGTTGAAGGAGGGGCAGGGGAATGGGGAAAAAGAAGAACAAAGAGAGTTTATGTAAAGGTGCAAATCTCCAATGACGAATGTCATTATATCGTATACCTACAATGTACCAATACAATTCATTAAAAAAAAAAGAAAGGGAGGAGGAAGTTAGGTGTGGAGATGGGAATGCTGTTGCACATGTCCTGTGCACTGAACCGAGGCTGTGTACTGCTTCCAAAACCTGGGGTTTCCCTTCCTCAGCCTGTGATCTTTTGTTTCAGATGAACTTCCTGGCTCTCTAACCTTGTTCTGGTTTGTCTGCTCTTTTGAGATCTGCTTTTCATTTCCTTATATTTCTGCCCTTATAGTCTCAGGTGTGACTTTAAGGACACATTCTGTAGGTGCTTACTGATGTTCACTAAGTACCCTGCCAAGCAGATTGCCTGGTACAATGACACAAAAGCAGTCGCCTTGGAACCAGGTTGAATCACCAGCTCTACCCTTTACTTGCTGGGATTTGGAGGTCCACATCTTGTTTTGTTTTTATTAAAATATATATCGAAATAGCGACTAATATAATAAAACTCATACTCTTCAATTATTCACATTTTATCAGTGTTTTATTTATGCCCCATACTGCTTGTTGCAGTATTTTAAAGTACATGTATGCATATTTCTTTTTTTAAAAATAGTGTCTTTTGCAATGTGTAATAGTTGAATTTGTTTTGGAAAGTTGGTATATAGAGATCTTATAATCTTGATCTTTTTGATCCCTTCCTACCAACCTTCCCCCTCCCCCATCTCACAAGTCTTTTCCTTTTTTCCTACCATCTCTCCTTTATTTTACTCTTTCACTTATTTATATTTGGGCTTCTCATGTAAGAGAAACCATGTGATATTTAACTTTCTGTGTCTGACTTATTTCACTTAACCTTATGATCTCAAGACCCATCCATTTTCCTAAAATAATGATTTCATTCTTCATGGCTGAATAATATTTTCTCTATCAATTTGTCTGTTAAAGGGCATCTAGGCTGTTTTCAGATCTTAGCTATTATGAATTACATTGCTATAAACATGGGTCTTGCTGTAGTATTATAACTTTAACTCAGGAATATAAACCAGGAGAGAGAGAGTTGGATGTAATGGAATTTCTAATTGTAGTTTTTTTTAGGAATGTCTATCAAACATGCAAATTTCTTTACCTTAGTTTCCTCAACTCTAAACTGGAAACTGTTTGCATGTTGAAGCATCTAGCCTGGAACCTGGCATGCAAGGAGGTTCCTTCTTTCTCCTTCTATGAAATGGTACTATAAAAAACACCTGGCCCTCCTTCTAGGCAGGTGTGCTTTTAACACAGGGGCTGTGAGCCCCAAGAGGCAGCACTGTGTCCCTTGAAAGTTAGAAATTTGGCAGGGCCCTGCTCTCTCTTTCTCCTCACAATGCCACTCACTGTGTGTCAAGGAACAAATGTGTGATCTGGTTCTCATATGGTTTTGTACCACATATAAGCTGTAGGCAAGCCGCAGCCCTTCTGGAACGACAATGGGCTGAGCAGTGAAGCAATGCAAAGACTCACTTGCACGTATTTTTCAATGGTCTTCAGAACTTCCGTATTAAATTGCTTGACAGGAACAACAGAAAGGTCCATGTAGCTGAGTAGACTGTAGATCACTTGCAAGAGGGGCTGCTGCATACTGGGGAGACCTTTCTCCAGCAACTGCAAGAGGCAAAGTGCAGGGCAGTCAGCTCTACACAAGGCTTTCATATAGAAGCACCCAGGTTCCCAACACCTTTATCAAGCACATTTCCTTAGGCGGGCAAATAAAACCATAACTACTGAAGAAATGAAGATATTCTCAAAGGGGTGTTATAAAGACATAAATAGCAAATATACACAAATAAGCATGAGAAAATAAATATTAAAAAGCATCAGAGAGTATCAAAAATTACAAACTAAAAAGATACAATTTGTCAGTTATCAAATTGGTGAAGATTAACAACTGATAATATTCAGTAAGGAGAAAAGAGAAAGGGCATTCTTAAAACTTTGGTGGAAATATAAATTGGATGATTTGGCAGTTGAGCACAAGAGCACTAAATCATATTTTTTGAAATAGCAACCACTTTTAGCAATGTTTCCAAAACCAGAGATAACCTGTAAGATTAATGTGTGAGATTTTCTCATGGCATTATTTATATGGAAAAAAAATCCTAAATGATAAAACACTGTAAGTAACTTAAATGTTGAACACTAGGGAAATGGATACATAAATTATCAGTAAATTACTTGGTGAAATAGTATATAGTTAATAAACTGACATTTTAAAATATGGTAAAGGGTATTAAATAATATTAAGTAGAAGACAAACTATCACAATAGTTTATATAAAAGATAATGACAATATTGATGTGAATTGTGTTTACAGAAATAACATCGAGAAGAGATAAAATGTTAATAATGTTTCTAAATAATATAGTTTGTATGATTTTTTTCCTTTTTAAAAAATGTTCTGTACTTTCCAAGTTTTCTATTATGAACATGTACTGCAAAATCAATGATACTATCTGAAAGAAAATAAATACAATAGGAATCATGATAAAAGTTTATTGTTTAAAGAGTGGAGAGAAATGACCCATGTAAATGCTAAATTTCTGCATCAAAAGGGGCCAAAGGAAATAACTGAGCAATGAACACATGAGAAAAGAAACAATTACTTAAATTTTTTTTTTTTTGGTATCAGGGCTCGAACTCGGGTCCTTTCGTTTGCAGGCCAGGCAATGGAACCACAGAGCTAAATCCCCGGCCCACAATTACTTAAATTTATTGTTTGTAAAGATGAGTGTTTTCACTGGAAAGGAAATACATAAGAAAAATAATCTAAAAGTATTTATAAAAAGTATTTGTAAACAAAAGAATAAATGGAATGATAAAATTTAGTGGGGATATTGGAAAACAAAAATATCTATACATTGTAGTATTGTAAATGAGTAAATTCTTTGTGAAGACCAATCTTTCAAATGTATAAGAACTTGGAGGAGGACACACAGTCATGTTCTTTGCATAGTTACATGTTGGAAAATTGGATCATTTGATGTTATCTGAAAAACTGATTTTGATAAAAATCAATAATCATTTGATAAAATGTCTATATAACAAGTATTACCTGAAAAACATGACTCTGTGAGTTATGTTAACACATGGAAATACACAAAAAAAGTTAACATTAAGTGAACAGAGCAGATTCAACATAAATCAGCCCACAGCTACATAAAATTATATAAACGTGCATGGCCAAACTGGAAAGTACTTATGAGTAACTGAAACAGAAGTTAATATATATCATATATGGTGGGAAGTTGGGTAAGTTAGTAGTATATTTTCTGGCCACAATTTTGTGATAAGAACTGAGTAGAACAAATTTAAGTAACTCATTTTTCATTTTTATTGTGGCAAAATATACCTGGTGAAAAGTTTACCACTTTAACCATTCAGTGGCACTAAGTACATTCACATTGCTGTGCAAGTATCACAGCTATTTTCAGAACATGTTCATTGTTCTAAACTGAAATTTAGTAACTACAAAATAACTCTCTATTGCCAGCTACCCCTGGCTCCTAGCAAAGGCTCTTATACTTCCTGTCTTTATAAATTTGTCTAAACTATGTACCTTATACAAGTGGGATCATATGATATTTGTCCTTCTGTGTCTGGCTTATTATGCTTATTTCACTTAGCACAATATCCTTAAGGCTCATCTACAGAGCAGCATATAGGTAAATTTTTTTTCCTACAGGCTAATATTTCACTATATGTATATACTACATCCCATTGACATTTTTGCAACTTTTATGGTTAGAGTTTCAAACAAATATTGCCTCCTGCTGTCATCTCAAATTTCACCTTCTTTTAAAGCAAACATCACTTATAATCTGCCCTTGTAAAGCAGGGTGTTTACGCCAGTTCTCCCAAAACTTCTTGTGTGGTGAACTATGTGTATCCTGCTTGCATGGACAAGTGTGACCAGGTGATTATCAGAGGTAGCATAGGGGCAGAGTGTCTAAAATCTGAGGCAACAAGAGATGGAAAGAACAAATGAATTCTGGGCCAAAAGTAGTCCGAATACAGTCCATATGTTCCTGATCCATATTTCAAGTAAAACTCTTCCAGAATCCTCTCTAAGGGCTGCTGCATGGAGAATGCACCATCTTGTATATACATAGTTTCCATCTTGTGGAACCTTCGAGAAAGGGTTGATTTTATAACCTATCTAGAACCTGGACTGGTGACATAACTAAAAGGAAAATTAGGACAGATTTCCTTTTTCTCTTTGGAAAAGTCCCTGGCAAGAGGTATTAATGTATATTCTGGAAGGAAAAGAAACACTGAAAATGCTAAAACAAATTACCCATTTTCCTCATAGATTTCATGATCTTGTGTATTAAATTTGTTGAGACTGGAGGTGGTAAATGGAATACATTTCATCATTTGCCCTACAGAATCCTATATATTTATAGCACCAATGGACAAAGAAGTCAGAGCAGGGGTTTGTGATGAAAGTGCTAGAGACGCATTTGTATCATGACAAAACTCCCATTTGGTTGTACCAACATAAAAGGCAATGATAAAACATTTTATTTCAGAATGTACATTGTTAATTAGTTCAGAGGAAACAACCATTAAACCAAGCCAATGAGTAACTCCTTAAATAAAATTTGAACACTCAGAGCAATTAGGATAAAATTTTCTCATTTCCACCATACTCTGACAGGTGTGAATATAGTAAGTAGAAGTGACAGCAAGAAGATCAAGGTTCAGATGCTAGTTCTGTCACCATAAACTTGGGGAAAATTACTGCACCTGATCAAGCCTCAGATTCTTTTTTTTTTATATTTAGGACCTTGTGCTTGTGAGGCTGACACAGTGCCACTGAGCTAAATCCCCAGCCACAAGCCTCAGATTCTTTATTGTAACAGTATGTATATCACTGGTTTGTTGTGAGGATTTAAAATGATTCCATTAGCATCTATGATAATATATTAGGCATCAGTATAGAGAAAGTGAGTGTGTATTATCAGTTCTATATAGATATTTTAACCATGGAAGCTATAACAGATGTTATCCTTAGTTTACCAGCTCACCTCTGCCAGGTAAGTAACCATGTTCAAGGTAATATCAGCATAGGCTTCATGAAGGTATCGGCACACCACATTGACCCATGTAGCACAGTCCCTCGTGTAGCTGTGTGTTTTATAAAGTGTCATAACATGCGCAAGATTTGAAAGTTTAGGGTTTTTCTCTTCCAAACAAACCTTTGAAGATAAGAAAACCAATTATGGATAAAGCATTCAATGACTAGGAAGACATGTTAGCAATTTTGCTATAAATCCTGACTGTCTGGAAAATAGATTGATACAGTTTTGGGTGGCTACAGAAATGTTTAGCTTACTAATTAGCTAATACAATCTTCACACTTTATTTTGATTTGTTTCTGTGTCCCTCCCCCCTCCCTGCTGGCTTCCCTTCCTCCTTCCTTACTTTTGCTGTGTCAGGGATTGAACCCTGGGCCTCACACATGCTACCAAGTGCTCTTTTTTTTTTTTTTTTTGTACTGGGGATTGAACTCAGGACCTTGGGCTTGTGAGGCAGGTGGTGGAACCACTGAGCTAAATCCCCTTCAAAGGGCTCTACTATTGAGCTACATTCCTAACCTCCCCCTGCCCTCTTAAATTTTATTTTATACAGTCTTGCTAAGTTGCCCAGCTTGAACTTGAACTTGATATTCTACCTCACCCTCCTAAGTAACTGGATTACAGGTATATGCCACCATGCCCAACAGCACTTGTTCTTCTTCATAATGAAAGGAAAGAAGACGATGTGCATCAGCCACACAGAAACGTACATTACTAGTATATAAGTTTCTGAGAAAATCATTGCCTTCTGGGCCTTCCCAAAGGCCCAAGTGGACTTGTCTGAATGTAGAAACATACTCCATACCTGAGCAATCCTTTCAGCTACATCCTTACAGAACTGATTTGGGTTTTCAAAATGCTGGATCAGCTGGGGCAGGAGACACAAGACATTCAGTGGAAATCCTGGATTAGAGAAGACACAATGGAGACAGCTGAATGTGGAATGTTTTAACTGGTAACAATGGGAAAGCACGTTATAGATTTTATTCTGATGGGATGTAAAAACATTTCTGATGTAGCTTAAATATGATCTAAAACAAAACCCATGAAAATATATAACTACAACACCACTAGTTATAAAGGAGGCACTTACGTAGTTTTGTAATGCTAACATACAGTGATCATCTTGGTATGCTTTGTGAATAAGGATGAGTAGCACAGATTTTATTGGTATAGACTGAGCTGAGTTGAGCCACTAGTTTGAAATTTTTATCAAAAAGTGTATTTTAAGAAAAATTGATGTGAGAGGACATTAGCCAAGTAATTTAAATCTTAGTTACAAATCGAAAAGACTCTTTAAGATTATGAGTAATGAATTAGTATCTTTGAGCTAAATTCTAGCCCATGAAATGAATTCTGGGTGACTTGTCATGGTATTAAAATTCTGGTGTGGATTTAGCTCAGTGATTCTGCTGTCTGCCTCACAAGCACAAGGTCCTGAGTTTGATCCCCAGTACCAAAAAAAAAAAAAAAAAAAAACTAGTGTGTTGATTTGGTTTAATTCAAAACAATAGGAAACTAACACACTTTTCAGGAGGAAAAGAAAAGCAAAGAAAAATTAAAAATTTGAGAATTAAGAAAAAAAGGGAAAATAACTATATAAGAACAATGGGATTAACTAACAGCATCTGCAATATTATCTGGAAGGCTTAAAAAACTAGTATCTTGCAGTGTGTGTAGGGGGACAAATACTGGCGATTCAATGCAAGGCCATCACATTGAGCTATATTCATTCCCAGTCTTCATTTTTCATTTTGAGACAGAATGTTGCCAAGTTACTAAGTTGTCCAGGTTAGGCTCAAACTTGTGATCCTCCTACCCCAGGCTCCCAGAGTGCACACCTGTAATCACAGGTGTGATTATACACAGTTTGACTTATATATAATTTCTGCCCATTTTATGATATTATCTTGATATAACTTCTAGAATACAAATAAAGACTTAGTCTAAATTTGGGGAGGGGGTTGGGATGGAACCCACGGCTCCATGCATGGTTAGCAAGTGCTCTGCACTAAGCTACACCCTTTGCCCCATTATGTAGAATTTAAAAGAAAAGATTATCCCCAAAGATCCATTTCTAAGCAGAATTGTTAGAAACAGTAAATCCACATTATCTTTTTACCTTAAAGATGAACACAGATACCACTAGAACTGTAAGAATGAATGATGTTGGCCTTACCAATAGCTTGGGATGAATCCACCATGGATACTTTGGACACTGGTGTCAGCAAGCTGAAAAGCTGCAGGGTAAGGTCAGTGGTGGTGAGGGATGTGAATCCCTTCAGCAGCAGCTGCTGCAACCCAGAGAAGTCAGCCCACTTGAGCTGTGCCTGGAGTTTCTCAAGTTTCTCTCGGTTCTCAGCTTTATCCAGTGGCATATGTGCCAGCAGTCGACTCAACAGCCTTAAGGCCATTAAGTACTCAAACTCAAAGTCAGACTCCATCAAGGCCACTGTGACCCAGAAGATGGTGGCTAATAGATTGGTTGGATGGTTTATGTGGGATGGATCTGTGAGACTGTCCTTCAAGGAGGAGGAACTTCTGGTTTTGGAGGAGAGGCCTTGCTGGGTACAAGCCTGAATTCTGTCCAAGGTAGCACTTCGAGGCGGATCAGAAGATCGGTCAACAACACCAAACTTCTTCGGCACAGAAAAGCTTCTTTGATGGCGACTCCGCTCTGCTGTGGTGGTATTGCCACTGGTAGCTCCAGGGTTCACATTGAGTTGCCCTGTGCTTTTTCTGCTTGCTGTTAATTTAGTACTAGAGCTTAAATCTGGTGATGAAGAGCTGGATATAAAAGTAAATAAGTTCAACAGAAAAAGAAAAAGTAAATACATCACAGACTTTTTTCAAATAAAATTTACGAAAAATGATTTCTAAATCTGCTCAATGATTTCTAAAGCTACTCATGCTAAAAAGATAAGTATCAACATTCTTGTTAAATTTTTACTGATTTAGATAAATCTATAGATTCAAATAGATAAACATGTATGATGTTAGTGATCACATCAAAATTTCTTCTTTCCAGAGAAAAATGTTCAACTTAAAACAAGGCCCAACAGTTTGTAATAGCTAAAGCTTGGAAACAGCCCAAGTGCCCATCAAATGGAAACTGGATAAAGAAGATGTGGTTTTTTAATAAGATGGAGTACTATTCAGCCATAAAGTATGAGAAACTAGAGTCATTTATAACTAAATGGATGCATATTGAGGCCATACTCTTAAGTGAAATAAATAGGACACACATGTGTAAATACCAAATAGTTTCTCTAGTGTGAGAAACTGAGAACGTAAATAAGGATTAAAAGGATTAATAACTAATAATTGATACTTTGAAATAGGAAAAGGTCCAAAGGGGTAGGGGTGGTGGGAGGAGATGGGGAAAGGAAAGAATGGAGAGGAAAAATTATGAGAAAAGAAAAAAAAAATGGAAACGAAGTATGTAAATAGGGAAGGGTGGAGGGGTGAAGGGAGCACAGGTAATGGGGAAAAAATAAGAACCAGATACATCATGTACAGGTACAAGCATCCAATGATAAATGTAAATGTATTGTATACCTGCAATATACCAATAAAAGAATTTAATAAAAAAAAAAACCCAAAAAAACAAAAAAAACAAGGCCCAAAAGGATGGGCCTTTTAAGCTTTACTGACTCAATTTCAAGAAATATGAACTCAATTAGAAAGATGGAATCATGAGTAATTTTAAATGGGTTATTAAATAGTGGCAGGAGCAACAACAACAACAACAACAACAGCAAAAAGCTACTAAGGTCGGAATTTCTTTAAGTAAAGTTAACATTTATTTCAACTGTTTTGTATATATTCATTTAAAAATAATCTTTAGTTTTAGTTTCTGTTTACCAATGTAATAAATAGGATAATTATTACATAAAATCTTTTAAAAAGTACTCAAAGTCCTAAAAAAGAGTGAAAAATCATTAATGTTTCTGTCATTTGGACACAGAATTTGGTGTCTATCTCATTGATATTTTAAAATATATAATATATATGTAATAATTGCCTTTTAAAAAATGTGAGAAAATTTCATGCAGTGCTTTTTAGGTCTAAAATATACCTTAAAAACTAGATTTGTGCTTTGTACTCTGACCAAATTCTAGCATCTCCCAAGTACTGAGTGAATTAAATCTAATTTACTCACCGAGATAATACAGTTAAGAGATCACTGTTCTTCAGGCAGTCAGACAAGTTGTCCACAGCAGCTTCCAAGGTCAGAAGTGCTTCCATTACATAACCCTGTGAAATGTGCAAAGATAACATTTTGTGCTGCTTCTTCCTGAATACATATTTAATCCATGCAAACTTTATTCCAATACTGTTAATATCTCTGAAAACTTGACAGCTGTTATTGCTTTAATTTAGGAATTGTAAAAACAAATTTTAAGGGCCACTTAGAAATTCAGACACCTTAGGAATTAGCCAGATGTGGAATCACAAGAATTATTTCCCTAGACCTGATAGCTTCAATAGGGAGTTAAGCATGGCATCCTGCTGAGGAAGAAGGTGGGCAACTCAAATGCAGAGCAACAAAGTCTTAAAGCAGAGATCACAAGATGAGGCATGTGAAGAGCTGTGCCTCAGTGGCACTTTATCAGCACTTTGATGGCCAGAAAGAGGAGAAAAAGGTAGAACCTATCAGTGTGCAGGCTTCCTGTGGCTCAGGAACATGTTTGACGGGAAAAAGGGCTTGGTGGGAGCCACAAAGCTTGCAATGCCCTTATTTTTGAATTTGCTTGGCTTCCCAAATCACCTACAGGGTCTTCCTGTGCAGCTACTGTCTCCATTCTGTCTTCAACTCTTTTTAGTCCACTAAAGGTTGACTATACAGGGAAGGGTAGTGCTTTGATCAAGTATTGGATGTGAATGAACAATATAATGAATGTTTAAATTTTAAAAAATTATTATAAAGGAGACAATAATCTCCCTGGAAATACTCCCCCTCAAAGAGAACACATTTTCTGAAACAGTTCTGAAATCCTTTTTTGTGAGTGTCATTAGATAAGCTGTTCTGGCTGCTTCAAGGTCCTGAACTGATTCAAAACATTTACCTATCATGGTCACTCTGTCTTTGGGGAAGTGCCAGAAGTTACAATGTGCCAGATGTGGTGCATAAAGTAGATGAGGACACAATGTAACATTTTTATGAGCTGTCTTTCCATTGGCTGGCACTTAGGGGCGGCACTCACCATTTTAAAAAAAAATCACACCCTAAAAAGACACGTATGAAAGAAGACTTCCAGAACTTCAGAGAAGTGACGAGAAAGATGGGATAAGTGTGTTTGAAGTAAGGATATTATTTTGAGGGAGATAATGGCAATGTGTCTCTTATTGTAATTTTAAAAATGTAAATTTAGGACCTTATGTGGTATCCAGCGAGTCTTGAAGAAGCTCTTCGGTAATAGATGGCTGTTACTTCAGATTAACGAGTAGAAAACCAGAGAGTCCCTCGCTCTCCTCTCGCCTCAGCCCGAGCTGGCCGCTGACGGGCTTCTCCGGCGTGAAAGGCTGAGGCTACAAAGTCCCCCAGGAGACGCAGCTCAAACTCCTGGCGGGACTAACGCCGCCAGACCCGCAGCCCCTGGTGAGGGGCCAAGAGGAGGCGGCCCAGGAAGCTGGCCTGCCCCCCGGGGCGGGCCCCAGCCCGGCCTCACCATCCCTGAGCATCGGGATGGACTCGGGCGTCATCCCCCTGAGACACGGAGGCCTTTCGCTGGTGCAGACCACAGATTTCTTCTAAGATCCGTACACGATGGGGCCGATAGCTTGTGCCAACGTGCTGAGTGACCTCGACGCCATGGGCATCGTGGAATGTGACAACATGTTAATGTGACTCAGTGTCAGCCAGAATATGAATGAGGAGGAGCGAGAAAAGGTAACACCACTCATGATCAAAGGTTTCCGGGATGCTGCTGAGGAGGGAGGAACTGCAGTCACAGGTGGGCAAACCGTGGTCAACCCTTGGATTATCATCGGTGGAGTTGCCACTGTGGTATGTCAGCCAAATGAATCCATAATGCCTGACAGTGCAGTCGAAGGGGATGTACTTGTGTTAACCAAACCCTTAGGAACTCAGGTTGCAGTCAATGCCCACCAGTGGCTGGATAATCCTGAGAGGTGGGATAAGATAAACATGGTGGTCTCCAGAGAAGAAGTAGAACTGGCCTATCAGGAGGCTATGTTCAACATGGCTACAACTGCTGCAGGACTGATGCACACATTCAATGCCCATGCGGCTACAGATATCACAGGTTTTGGCATTTTAGGACACTCTCAGAACCTCGCAAAACAACAGAGAAATGAGGTGTCATTTGTCATTCATAATCTGCCAATCATTGCCAAGATGGCTGCTATCAGCAAGGCCAGTGGGCGGTTTGGACTCCTTCAGGGAACCTCAGCTGAACCTTCTGCGGGGTTACTGATTTGTCTGCCGAGAGAACAGGCAGCCCGCTTTTGTTCCGAAATCAAATCTTCCAAGTACGGTGAGGGTCACCAAGCATGGATTGTCGGCATTGTGGAAAAAGGAAACCGGACAGCTCGTATCATTGACAAGCCTCGAGTTATAGAGGTTCTACCTCGTGGGGCTGCTGCTCCTGCTCTTGGTGCCGATTCCAGCGCCTCTTCTGAGCGTACCTCGTGAACTGGAATAGCAGAAGTCGTTGGGAATTTAGCACCTTTGTATATGATCATGGATGGTTCCCAAGAGTTCATTTTAAGCAATTTCCAAAGAAGGCTGCCTGCTTAGTAGTTCCAGCTACCCTTTTTTAGAGAATTTAAATGAGCCCATCCAAATCTGCCTGTGTGTACATTCCAAGGTCAGAAGTAACGTTTTGAACTTGGGGGGACATGTGTTCATCTCTTGGGTGAATGAGGAGCAAGAAAATCTTGTTTCCTCTTTCCAGAGGAAGTTGAAGCTATTCCAGTTTGAGGGATTTTCCTTTGCACTGGGTTGATTCATTTCTGCACAGGGAGTGATATCATTAAAATTTCACCAGAGGTTTGAAAGATGAAAACTTAGAAGCAAGTAAATTTGGACCACTACTGTTGATAAATTTGAACTGTTAAGAGAGATCTTATGATGTAATGCCAAATTCTTTGTCAGATATTTCTAAGGAATTGGCTCTTTCCTGCTCCGGACAAGAATTGAGCAGCTTGTCCAATGCCTGGGAAAGGAGGGCCTGCAGCCATCTGACTTGGTCTCTGTTAATGATGTCTTTCCCTCTAAACCCCTTTAAGGAATGGGAGAGGCAGAACAAGCCCCAGAGCCCAGGCCTTGGTGGTCATTAAGATGTTAAATCTTGCGCTGAAAAACTCCTGCTGATTTAATTAAATTAAAGAGTGATTTCTAGTTAAATAAAAAAAGACTGTTGGAAAGCTAAAAAAAAAAAAAATGTAAATTTAAATGTTCACTCTATTTTTTGCTCATGCCCTGCTCAATGGAGATCTTAACTTTGGGTGGAGTGTTTGTATACTGTCATGGTTGGTGGGTGGTAAAACCCCACAAACAATACAAGATATCCCACTCCCACTCTTCACATGCCAAATAAAACCACTGCCCCCAACAACAACAACAACAACACTAACAACAAAACAAGCCTCTAAAGAATCTTCAGTTTTTTGTTTTATAAAATAAAATAGTATCACTGAATTTTAGAACAATGTTCCCTGGAATGATTTTCAGAAATGTATAAATCAACTTCTAGAAATTTTTAAAATACATTATTCAAATGGATGAAATAATTGGTGAGAAAAAGAAGACTCAAAGAAAGATGTCAATGCCTCATCTTTGAAATGTGAGCGCACAGCCTTTGTGAGCTCAGTGGTCTTCCTTTCATACCTGAATCTCATCTCCATGTTCTCCAATAACCTCTACCAATCTTGACAGGAGGTCAGACAAGGCATGTGCTGATAGCGGTTGCTTGAGAGCCCGGAATATCTGGAAGGACCGACCTGCATAGTGCCTTGAAGAGCTTGCAAGGGCTGTCTGCAGTGCAACTTCACTCAAATGTTGTTCCAGATGGAAACCTGGGGCCATAATAGCCACACAGGAAAGGTCAGTGTCTGAGCTGCAAACTGGGGCATCAAAGTCACCTATACATTTAAAATAACAGCCTCATAGCATAGAACTACCCAGAGGTGGTACTTATTTAAAAATAAAACATTTGAAAACAGGTAGAATGGAGTGAATCTGTAGTTCTAGATTCTTAGGAGGCTAAGGCAGCAGGATTGCTTAGGCCCAGGAGTCTCAGGCCAGCCTGGAAAACATAGCAAGATTCTGTCTGAAAAAAAAAAAAATCAACCATTTTAAAATAATACAAATTTTGGATAAATATTGGGGAGGTACAGTGTAGTCGAAAGAGGCAGAAACTTTGGAGCAAGAAGTTTCTGGTTTTGAATTAGGGGTTTTGTAACTCTGAAAAAGAAACTTGTCTAAGATCCTGTTTCCTTCTCTTTAACTTTTGAACAACAGGATCTATCTCACAGAGCTGTAAGAATGAAATGACTTATAAAGTGCCTAGTACAGTGTGTGATATAGAACATTTGCTCATAAATGTATTTATTATTTTACTTTTCTGTCTTCCTTCTTAAACAGAATCTTTTTACACCTTTCCATCTATGGTTTGGCCATCACACCCAAGGGACAAGTAGACTACATCAGAAAACGTCCCTGTAGCGCTAACAGATGGGCCAAAAAAAGGACTTGCATATATTCAGGATGAGAAACTTAGGATTAAACCATTTTAGGCAGTTTATAACTTGCAAATAAATCGTTTTTCTTTGCGTATGTTTGTGACTTTAAATTTTACCACAAACTCATTTTATATGAGGGAATTAGGTCACCTGGTAATAAGCAAAATCTTATTTAAAATCATAATGAACCTGTAGGCAAGAATTGTACTTGCAGGGACTGCAGAACCCCACTGTTGCTATGACAATATCCTTTAGGATAAAAGAAAAAGGTTTCTTTTTCTTACTGGCCATATAGTGAATCCCTATTTTCCAGTCTTCCTTGCAGTTAGGTGTGGCCAAGTGCCAGTGGAATGCAGGAGGGAGTACTGGATGCCCCATTTAGCAAAGCCTATCAGCTCATCCTGAGTTCTCTTCCCCTCACTCTCTTCGTCCACCTATATGCTGAATGGAGAGGGCCCAGAAGAGCCTTGAGCCAGTGGGTGGCAAAGCCTCATGCTACAGGGTCCCTAAGCATCTTGTAGAAAGTCACCTGCCTAATAGCCACACTGAACACTTTTGCTCATCTTACTGTCCTAATCAACATAAGCTACTCATAGACCTAAGATCCTTATCAGCATAAGATCCTCGTCATAGGATCACTGTCACCCTCTGAGTCATCTGATACTCTCTTGGAACCCAATAAATAATGGTAAGCTTGGAGTGCCTTTGTTTTTGGTATCTAGAGCAGCACTGATCAGGCCCCAAACCGTCTTTTCTCTGTCTTGTTTTCTGTCTTTATTCTCTAACTCACCTTGTGCTGTCATGGCTCACAGGAGACCAGAACCCACTGCAGGGGTTCTGGTAATGTCCCTTTTCCAATTCCCTATATGAATGGACTGAGGGTTCAATATAAGGAATTCATATATTTTCTTATTTTTATTATCTTCATACATCAAAGGTTTTAGACAAATTAATGGCTCACATACAAATGCTAAGTTTCCTCATCTGGGTGTGTTAAATTAAGTGACTTTTGAGGTCTTAATATTTCAAAGGAACTCACAGGGGAAGTTCTCCCATTTCAGTTTATCGTATTTGTTGGATTTTAGTAGGCATCCTCTGAAAATGCAAAGAGACATGGCTAATTCAGAATATTTCAAATGGAAATATGTTAGCCATCAGAGCAGCTGGGAAAGCCAGAGAGCCAGGTTTAATATTGCCAGACTGGTGAGAGAAAAAAGGTGGAGACAAGTTTTTACATTATGTTGAGGTAAAGAACTTAAATTTTGCACATAAATCAGCCAGGCCAAGTTGGATCTGAAAGGAATTCAACTGCTGGCAAATATTTAAATATTATGATGCTACTGTAGTCTACACAGGAATCCATCTATGTTCAGAATATTTAATGGTCACTTGTACAGGAACTGTTAGTAAGCTTTTTCTTTTTTTTGGAGAGGGGAGGAGTACTGGGACTGAACTCAGGGTCTTCACACTGAGCTACATTCCCAGCCCTTTTTAATTTTTGAGATAGAGTCTTACTAAGTTGCCCAGGCTGGCTTTGAACTTGGCAATTCTCCTGTCTCAGGGTCCCAGAGTGCTGAAATTACAGTTGTTTGCTGCCATGCCTAACTTGATAGCAAATGGTTTTTTAAAGACAAAACTATTTCATCAAAATTTTTTTTGAGATTCTGAGGATTGAATCTAGGGCCTAACATATTAGGCAATCACTTTACCAATGAGCTACATTTCTTTTTTTTTTTTTTTTTTTTTGGTACCGGGGATTGAACTCAGATGCTTGCACTTGTGAGGCAGGTGGCAGAACCACTGAGCTAAATCCCTGGCCTTGAACTACATTTGTAATCCCCAGTTCTATTTCTTTTTTAAAACAAGTAGGACCATTTTAACCATCCACTTAAACAGGCTGACCATTTTTCTTTGTTGACACTGATGATGGGCAGTAAGATTTATGTCTCATTGAGATTATCTATCTAGGGATTGAACCCAGGACCTCTGCACTGAACTACATCCCCAACTCTTTTTATTGTTGTTTTTTGGGGGGTTTTTTGTTTTAAATTTTTGAGACAGGGATTTGCTAAGTTTTCCAGGCTGGTCTTAAATTTGTGATCTTCTGCTTTAGCAGTTTCTTCAGATATAATTAATATTATGGTTACAATTTAATTATAATAAAGTAAAAGCAAGTAGAACAAGCAAGGTGGGGAAATTAATTGGTAGCACAATGCAAATACAGATGGCATTCATTATCATTCAGTTTGGCAGTATTTGAAATAAGCTTCAAAACTCTCCTATGAATACACTTATATCATAGATATTTAGTGTTAGGACCACATTATAAGATGTCTTATCATAATGGAGTAAGCATCATTAAAAAAATGCTGAAAAAGGATAAGACAAATAGGATAAAATACCTGACTTGGAATCTTTAAATACAGATACAACATGACGGAGAAAATTAGTCAGTTGTTCAGCACTCTTCGAATTTTGATTTTTGGGTGTGATGTCTTCATGGCACCAAAGTGGACCAAATGCCCTTAAACAAAACACAGTAAATGTCAAAAATATAGTTGTGGTGTTGCATTTTAAAAGCCAAATATGAAGTTCTGACTCTGAGGATATAATGTATATATTGTAAATTTTAACTAGGGGCTATATTTCAGTCTTATAAAAATTTAGAGCATACTCAAAATACATATAGCCAATTTGTGGAGACAAACTTTTTTCTATTTCAAATTAAATTTATTTACAGATTAAAAATTTCCTTTTTCACCAGATCAGTGCTTGGAATATTGGAGGTGCTATATTTTCTTTGTTAAATAAAATGATATATAAGTTTAGACACAGACTCACTACTCACACCTTAATATTTGTAGACATAAGGATCTTATCAGGATCACATCATTAAGTTACCAAATACCACAGAATGAAACTGAAAACACCACTTTTGTTATCTACTTGGCTTTTAATAGTAAGATGGAGAGGCAGCCAGGTGAGAGAATTCCTGAGAATAACCTTGCCCAACATGTGGTATGAGATGGTCAGTAGTGACAACACTTATCTTTTCTACAAACATCCAGGACTCCAAAGTACCCTGTCTGTGCACACACCCTGCATGCAGGCACTGTCAGCTCTCTTCCTAAGCTTCCTGCATGTTAAATGCCACATGCAGCTGGGAGTTCTACAGAATAACCTGAATTATTGATCAAGGAAAGAAAATGCTCCTTTACACTGTTTGCATTCAGTGATGCACTAGTTAAGGAAGAAAAATCATGCAAGATATTGTATAACATGTATACAGACTAAATTTCCAGGACTTAACTCACTGAGAAAGGAAAGCACACTTCCAGGTAAGCATGCCTTTTACAAATAATGGTCCTCAGGGTGCTAAAAATTCTGAAGTCTTAACAGTGAAATAGTTAATTAGGAGAACTAGAAGACTTGAAAAGACAGGAGTGCTTGTAGTTTTCCTTGATTTTGAGGTATGATTAGTTTTATATTGCTTTCCATAGAGGCACGTCCATCAAGCTTCCCACGGTTTCTAGTTTGTAACTCAATTACAAATGGCTCTTTGAACCAGATAAACAGAAAATGCTCCCCTTAGCAGCTGCTCCTGTGTTGACTGTGGCTAATATCTTTGTTTTCCAGAGTGAAGCTCTTTGCCAAGTCTCAGAAATCCCAGATCCTGGCAGCTCTAATAGATGAAGAAAGTCAAGCTCATGGCAGGATGCTACTGTCTCCTGCCTCCATTTGTTACATCACTGTTATACCCAGAATCTCCCTGACCATCAACCACCACATCAATGGGATCTCAGACAATGTCTACCAGTGCCTGCCTTTTACACAGACCTCCAGCAGTTCCAACTTAGAAGAGAAAACAGGACTCTGCTAGAACTGCAGGATCACTTTGGCATCTGTGTGGCTCAAAGTGTTGGCTTTTCAAAAGCTCAGCCTAAAAACAACATCATGACTTCTGATCTTCATTACCTGGTTGTTAGAAACTCAATGAGCTTGTTGGCCTTCTCATCTGTCTCAGCGGCTGTGTCCACATCTTCTACCTCCTGGGTCATCTGCGGGAGGTTCCCACTGCTGCCTCCCAGGCTGATACTGGAGGAGGTGGAACTGGAGCTCAGCCCCGAGTCTGGCACTGGGGAGGACTGGTCCTCTCTCAAGAAGTCAAAGCCACCTGTGTGGAGAAGGTTAAGATGGGATGTGCTAGGCAGGGTGCTTGTCAGTGTGCTTAATGTGGCCTAGAGGTGAACACAAAATTTTAAGGGAAAACACTAGACTTAGGCTATTGTAATGATTAAACAAGATTGATAGGTTTTCTTTGCTTATGGAATCAGTCGTACTGCAGGGTAAACCAGTATCTGAGAAAGTGTGTGGCTGCTGTTTTCTACTCTTGGGTTTTAGTTGATGTTTTCATAAAAAAGGGATAGCTGTGTGTTTTACGCATACATAGGCCAGGCCAAGACATAGTTCAACTATAATAGGTCAACCACTAACTGCTGTTAGCCAATTATTCTTGGGGATTAGAGTACTCATTTTGAAGACACCAGTTACTTAATGACTGATGAGTAAGTTATATTTGATGTTTTGGGATAAATGTGCCTAGAAGCTTAATTATTATGTATGTATATACATACAAATTACATGCATATATATAAGACATAAACATGTAACATATATATGTAAAACATAATATATCACTCACATACATGAATTGAACATCGAGCTTGTTCTGGGAGCTCTCTTATCACTGAGTGATATGCCCAGCCCCATGTTAACATATTTTAATTATACTGAATGATATTCAAAGAAATATGGTATAAGCAAATACTATGATTTTTTCACTACATAGTGTATTTTCTTAACATTCTACATCTTTGACTATGCTATGGGTTTGAAAACGTATGCAGGCGACCATCTCTTTTCTTTTTAGTAATCATAAAAAGCACATACATAGTTCTGGTGTGTCTGACAGATGTGTCAAATTAGGAGTGAGGAGCCCTGGGCTGGAATAGCTTCTCTGCTGCTTACAGTGTAATTTCAGAGTCTTTATAATTCTTTGTACCTTAGTTTCCTATTATAATGTGAGGATAATCATCTTCATTACACAGGTTTTTAGTGTGCATTTTAAAACATCTATAGTTGAAACCAAAAGTTCAATAATTGTTTATAAAGAGGGGACATTTTCCATCATCTGTAAATCTATTCCTGTGCATTTTAGCTATCTATTTCTTGTCTTGCATATGGATACTGTGTACATTTTTTTGGTAAATCTCTAATATAAATAATTTTATACTACACCAGTGGTATAATAAGTGCAAAACTTATACACTCAGAGATACACAACTTTACAGACATTCCAATTTTCTCAGCCTAGTCTATACCCATATTCTCAGGAGTTGAAACAACTAGAACTCTTCAAAGTCATTACCTATTATAAAGAGAGTTTTGTATTTCTCAAAGACCACTGATTGTTATTTTCAGTTAAGTGTAGCGTGGCTCAAAATAAAGAGCTTAAACTGAGGTCAGTAGGCTTTATATGTCAGAGTTAAGGATGCCTTCATACTTGTTTCCCCCCAAAAAGTTAACCTCTGTTAGAAGACAAGACAGTGCTGAAAAGAAATAATAAATAAAAGGCACATTCTTTTCAATATAATAAAGTACCCGTGACCTGTGAAATGCTGTATTATCTCTAGTGCTAATGTAATATGTAAGATGATTATGTAAAAGTCACCCTGTGAATTGGTAATATTCATCATCACTTTAAGATATTTCAAATATTAGCTGGGTGTGGTAGTGCACGCCTGCAATCCTAGCACTCTGGGAGGCTGAGGCAGTAGGATCATAATTTTAAGCCTCGTCTGGACAACTTAGTGACTTAGTATGATCCTGTCTTAAAATAAAAAATTAAAAAAGGAAAAAATAGATATTTTAAACATTATCATTCTAAATGAAAGTCACACGACCAACCCTTTTAAGAAAATTTATGTGAGTAGCTAAACCAATGACTTCTATGGTGAAAATCTGGTGGCCACTTTCTATAGCTTGACATGGCAGAGTAGTTTCTTTGACTTATCTAATGCCTTCTGTTCTCATTCCTAAGAAGAAATTTTGGTCTTAAAATTCTGTTTTTTAATAGGGTCCCATTAAATGATGCCTTGCAGAAAAACAGTTGATCATTCAATAAAGTGAAAATTCCTTCGGGGAACTGAAGACACATAGTGACGATCTGGCACCGTGACTATGACCGACTCAAAGGCAGAGGAGACTGAATCACCGTTTCTTGCTCTCTCATCCTGCAGTGCGCTAGACTGATACTCTTCACCAGCAAACATTTTAATCTCAATGCACTAATAGGACAATAATTATAATAAGGAAAATATATTTGAAAACATTCAATGGTGGAGAAGGCTCTTTAGAAGCAAGTTCATATCAAGTGGAATGGTGCATATTTACCGTGCTATCTGTTCGCTTTGGCAGCACATATACTAAAATTGGAATGATATTTACTGTGCTATAATTTTATCCTTTGGAAAGCACAAGAGACATTAACTTGGGTTCCACTGACACCCCCAGTCATCTTCCCATTTGTGACTCTGTCGCAGGTTGCCTGCTGGTTCTTCTCTTGTTACCTGTATACAGATATTCTGGTTGATAAGCGGGCTGGACAGTTAGCGTCTTAGCTTCACTCATTTCCCGGGTCTGCAAGAGTACGGAGGCAATGGCATGAAAGCTGCTATTGCAAGACAGGGCAATCAGGAGGTGAAGAAGCAACTTTTTGCTGTGTTCAAAGACTTCAGGCCGGTAATGGTCCAAACCTGGAACAAAACAGTGGAATCTCTGAGTATAAACAAATGTTAAACTGAGTTAGATTCCATGGATGATAAAGATTCCAAGATACTCAGGAGGAACATGTTAAAAGGATGTTTAGTTTTCTTTGTTATTGTTTGGGTTACCAACATAAAGAGGCTGGGCTCAGGAAAAGTGAAGTGCTTTATTTCTTAAATAAAGTGTTCTCATAAAATGCTGATAGATTGACTTTTCTTGACCTCTCCACAGCATTTGATGTGGTTCACATTCCACTGTCCTGTGATATTCTCTCCCTGGATCTCCTAGTTACTGAAGATCGTCATTGTACTTGCCTCACTCTGACTGGTCTTCCAGCTGGCTCCTCTTTCCATGTTTGCTCTACAGCTTGAGTATCTGAAACCCAGTGCTGTGCTCCATACTGCTTTCTGCACTGACCATGTCTCAGGGCTTTAAATTCATTTCTTCAGTCAAAGACCCTCAAAAAAGCCCAATTTAACTTGGATATATTTAGAGATGTAGCACTAATATTATAGAAATGTGATGATTTCAAACAATGACTGATCAAATGAAATTCTGTAGAGCAGAGATTACAAAAGGGCAATGAATAATGGAGGAGACTAATGATAGCAATGTAAAAAGAAATGATGGATTAACTCTATGTTGCTGCTTTTGTTGGATCAAATTCTGCTTAGATCTGGTCTTACCTAAGAAGACAGCATGAAGTAACAAGGGGAGATGCAGAGCCCAGTCTTCTCTTACACTGTGATCCACCACCATCTCCGTCATAAAGATCACAGCAATATTGCACCTAACCAATGAGAGTATAAAACTAATGCAACTTCTGATGAGGACAGGAACACATTACTAGATGATCAAGTCACCACTAAATACAACCGTTAAGGCTTACTGAAGAATTATGTTAAGACTTATCCAGAGAAGCAGAGTTTAACTTCTGACATAGCACAGAGTGAGACCGTAAGAGGAAACGTCAGTTAAGCTCATAACTTAATAGAGAGCCGACTGGTCACAAGACACCAATTGCTGAGGGATGAAGGTAACTGAAGACAAGTCTCTTTCTTCAAGCTATGTACCATCTAAAAACCATCACAGAATGCACACCCACATGAAGATTACATCAAACAAAAATTCAAAGGGACAGAAGACAGCTTTGCACATTGGTTGACATTTGACCAAACTGCTAATGTGCTGGACACTGTGCTGCTACTTGAGTCAGACATGGTTCCACTGACTTAAGTCATTTCATTTGGCAAGACCTAGAATAGGATTTCCTTTTGTCATACAGAAGTCCAGTGAAAGCTAAGCTGTCACTTCCCCCACCTGTACATGCTGCTTACCTGTGGAGAGGACCCCGAGGTGTGATGGTCTCTGGCAGATAGTCAACCAGGGGTGCCCAGCATCCTCCAGTACAGGGCATTGGCAAGGGCTGTGGCTGTTTGGTCTCTGTAATAGTCAACAACCAGCCCGTGTAGGGAGAGATTGGGTCATCTGTTGGGTGAGAAAAACAGCCATGGTTTATTTTCTGGAGGAGATTCTTATTTTCCCTCCTTGATGTTTTTGGAAAGAATATTATAAATGTATGCTTATAAAAAAACCTTTTTAATTGCTCAATTTGGTGAATGTAAATTACATGATCAAGTGGCTTAAAATTACTTCATTAGGTAATTACTTGATTAGCTATTACTTGTGTAACTCATTTATAGTTATTCATTATAGATCAAAGAAAAATACAGATAAAAAGAAAATGTTATGTGAATTTCCCATCACCATGCAAACCTCCTCTTGTAATCTTCTCCATCTTATTAAAATGCCTTATTTCCAGTTTGCTCGGGTGACAGTCTTAGAGTCACCCCTCACTTCCCTGTCACATCCCAATCCAACTTACAATTATTATGAAAATAGTAGTAAATACTAAAAATAACATTAGGAACTAATAGAGTGCTTGCTATGTCAGGTACTGTTCAATGCATGCATTTATTAATAGTCCAAATATAGGTACCTACTATTATCCCTACTTTACTGAGGGGAAATAAAGTTAATTATTATGAACAAATTCTGAGTGTTTGTGCCTTCAAAACATATCCAGCTGTGGCCACTTTCTCCAGCTCCACAGCTCCTCTTGAGTCTAGGCCACCCTCCTCTCCTGCAATGGTCCCAACTGTCTCCCTGCCTGAGCAAGTATTTTAAAACAACTGTGGTCACATCTCTCTGGTGACTGCTCACCACTTTCCAGTGGCTCCCCTTTACAGTGAGAATGAAACCTAAAATCCACATTGTGACCTTATGACTTTGCAAGATTTTCTACCCCAGTCATCCTAGTTTTCTTGCTGTTCTATGGCCCCTGTCCAGCCTTAGGACCTTCACACCGACGGTCCCGTATGGCTGTAAGGCTCCTCACACAGCTGCTTGACTTTTTTCATTGCTCTGCCCAAATACCACCTCATAACAGTGGATTAATTCTACTCCCACCCACTCACTCTGTACCCTTTACCTGCCTCAGATTTCCTCTCTCAAGTGTCTGCTCCCCTCATTCTAATGTACAGTCCTGCAGAGTGAGGACTTTCTTTTTTACTTTGTTCCTTGGCATTTCCCTTGCACTTACAATAGTGTCTGGCATGTAGTAGGGAATCAATAAATATTTGATGAGTGAACGGACTTCATCAACAATATATTTCAGGTAAGCATAAGGACAAGTTTCCTTTTTTTTTTTGGTACCGGGGATCAAACTCGGGACATTGCACTTTTGAGGCAGGCAGCGGCACCACTGAGCTAAATCCTTGCCCTCGAGTTACTTCCTGTAGTGCTCTCAATATAGGCCCTTGGCATTCAAGACAAGCACTTCCACTGGGGGCCATGTGATATCACTCAGGCGTATGATTTCAGACAAGCTGGCTTAATCCTGAGACAGCTTTAACATATGAAGAGGGAGGTATATTACATTAACTTTAGACAGTTTCTCTTCATATATAGTTTTTCTTGATTGCATTTCTGAAAGGCAGCAAGAGGTACAGTTACACGTTGCTTCACAACAGGGATTCATTCTGAGAAATGCGTCTTTGGGTGGTCATGTGTGAATATCAAAGTGATTTCCACAATCCTTGATGGTATAGCCTACCACACATTGACAGTGTGTGTAATGGCCTCCATTGTTGATGGGTTTGTTACTGACCAGAAGGTTGCTACACGGTCACTGGTCTTAGAAAGACTACTGGTCTTTCTAACTCGCCAGCATCATTCTGTGCCAGTGGTGGCAAACCTAACGTATGGCGTATGTGTCATTGTGTTTTTCTTTTAAGGCAAAAGATGTTAATATATAAGTTTTTTTTCTAAAGTAAACCCTCAGTATTCAGGTTTAATTGCAGTGTTCATACTTTGCAATAAATAAGTGGGTTCTGGGTTGCAGTTTGGGCACTCAGTCTCTGAAAGGTTCACCATAACTTTTCTATGCCATGAAGATTGCTCACAACTATTTTAGCACAGAAAAAAATGTAAGCAGGAGCACTATTGACTCATCTTAGTTCTAACTCTCAGTAAATTACTCAATTTCAGCGAATTAGCTTCTTGGATGGCTGCTCAGGATCAGTTAATTGCAAAATGAACCCCTAAGTAATTGACTACACTTTAATAAAACTTTAAAGGAGAGCAAAAAAGAGATGACTACTAAAGAATTTTTAAAATTTTGAGATTCCTGTTAGGAGAAGATATACTATTCTTAGTTTCAGTGATATGCTCAGGTATATCCATTCAGCAAAAATATGCTAAGGAGGATTAAGGTGGCCTAAATCTGGTTTTCTACACTTAGGTCTAAACCAGAGATTCACTGTGAATCAGATCCCATCCTGGGTGAGCACACTCACAAGGTTTCAAGCTTCAATCCATGCTCAAGGTAGTCTAAAAAGCTCAAATGCAACAATTATTTTCTAATGGGATGCTTTCTTACTAGCCTTTCCCCAACTCTGTATCACCAGGGAAAGATGCCAAGAATATGAAAATATGGGACTGGAGAGCAGTTTGAATTTTTTAAATTCTGATCCGTCCACTCTGGCTTTTATTTTTATAAGATAGTGACTATATGTTCAACTGCATAGTTGAATTAAATGATCACTTGATATTTATGGGACCTTTTTAGTAATCAGGTTAAGAATAATCGAAGTATTCATTTTCCATTCTCCATCTATCTGCATTCTGTCTGAAAGACACAGTCCATGGATACTTACTTTTTTTTTTTCCCATGGATACTTACTTTTATCCTCATCATATGATCCTCCAGAGCTATTGCTGTATCTTGATTCTAGGCGGGTATGGGCTCTGATAACATTACTGAACCTTCAAATACAAAAACAATCATCATAAAATAGTGACAGGTATTGAGCTATGCTGGTGCTCATAAGAAGATACACTTATTTAGTAGCTGACTTTTCAATAGTTAGTTCCAGTGATGATGCTTTTCTTAAAGGAATAGTGTCATTTCTTTTTCCCTTGAGAGGGCCAGTCTCTCTCTTGATTACAAAAGGTCCAAACTTGAAAAGATAACAATTTTAAGCCAATATGTATTATATATTGTAATATATAGGCTTAAAATTGTTATCTTATATATCGTTATTTTATATATATATATATATA